AAAAATATTATTAAAAAGATGATGTGAGGACAAAAAAAGGGTTAGCCCCCAAAGGAACAATGTAAAAATATCAAACTGTGGTATTTTTTGACATTAATAAGCTGTGGATATCAATGTTTCTAACCCAACCTGCAATAAAAAAATACACACCTAGAACACTTATCTGAAATAAATTTTGTAAGCCAACAACTATCTTTATTCATTTGATAAAGTTGATATTTTCTAATCTATTCTGTCTCTCTTTTATTTTTTTATTGTGAAAATACTGTACAGAGGAGTTACACTTTTATTGTAGGTCAAGATGTATTGAAGCCCATTTCAAGATTCCTTCATGTGAAGAACATGGGGTTTGAGTATGAAAGGATGTGGTGAGTTAATGAATGAATGGGAAATACCAATAAGGCTCTACCAGTATAGCTTCCGCTCTTCTTACATCAAGCAGGGTACTGCTGAGTTGCAAGTCTCTGGAGACTATGAGTAGAGTCCCTTTCCAACTTAAAATTATTCAGTGTGATGGTCTATACCAATCCAAAGTAGGGGAAGGAAAGTTCCATAGGTATTTTCTTCTTAGTTCTGGCTACGTTTTTTGTTAATCATTATGCTTTCTGGAAGAGTTCTTGAAAGTGAAAATATTCTCATTTCTGCACACCTTCTAAATTGAAACTATACTTGAATTTAGATCAGAGTTTACCGGAATCACACTGGCAAAACTCAAGAAGATATGGTGATCCCAGATAATGGAGAGGTGAAGATCTGGAGGATTGCAGTATCTAGAGTATTGCAGTTCTAGAACAATGCTGGCTAAAAGTTAGAAGCACTCTTATCTCAACCATTAAACTAGTTGGGATGGTACATGCCTAGGATCCCAGCTGTGCCGGAGCCCACCCATAGGAGAATCTGTGTGAGGTTGATGCTAAGCAAAAAACCATTGGAGTAAAAATAACTAAAGCAAAGAAGGTTGAGAATAGGGTTCAAATGGTAAAGCCCCTGAAAATGCAAGGTCCTGAGTTCAAAACCCAGTACAACAATAATAAAGAAAAATAGTTTAAAAATCAAAACTCTAATCTTAACTCCAAATCACAATTGGTCTACTACAATAGTCTTTGTCCAAGATTATTTAACTGGGCACTTTCAGAGTTTATTTTATCACTAGGAATTACAATACTGAGTACAGAAAAGATGCCTAGAATATATATTGTACAAAAATCAAATAAAATACATATAGATGATAATAGAAGCTGTGGAGGAAAACAATAGTGTTTGGATTGCATTAGCTTAAACTAGACAGGAAGTAATACTTAAGTTGAGCTCTAAATAATGAGAAGTCATTAATGCACAATCCTAAAACTACTTTCCAGACTTGGTCACATAGAAGTGCCAAGCTGATGCAGGAGAGAAGTGTAATCTGAGAAGGCCAGCATATCTTGAGCATGTTCAGTTGGGAACACTGATGTGAATTTGGTTTCTATAACTGGAAAGGGAAACTGCCCTGGAATGAAGTGGTCTTACTTGGTTTTTGGTTTGGTTTGGTTTTGTCTTGTGTAAGGTAGTGCCTGAGGCTAGGTGATAAAAGGATTAAATAAAGGTATGATTAGAAGCTACAAGATCCCTTTAGAAGACTGCTTTTGAGGCAAGAGCAGAATTAAACTAGGGTGTACACAAGAGAAATAGAGAAAAGATGAATTCAAGATATAATTTGTAGTTAAGAGTCAGCAAAACTTATATTTAGAACTTTCTTAGAAGGGACCACAAAGCTCTCAACTGAAAAATGAGTATACAGGGGCTGGGATGTAGAGTGCTTGCCTCACATGCATGAGGCCCTGGGTTCGATTCCTCAGCACTATATATGCAGAAAAAAAAGCCAGAAGTGGCACTGTGGCTCCACTGGTAGGGTGCTAGCCTTGAGCTGAAGAGCTAAAGGACAGTGTCCAGGTCGAGTTCAGCCCCCACAACTGACCAAAAAAAAGAAAGAAAAAGAAAATTGAGTATACAAGTAAACATATTTAAACGGGGAAATGATATTTTGAGGAGAGAATGGGAGAAATGTCCACTAAGTAATAGCCTAAAAGTAATAGATGAAAGTAGTCACATATACAAATGTAATTTCACATTCTACTCTGGACTCATTTTCTTTAAACGAAGTGTGGAACTAGTGCAGAAAAAGTGAAGACTTGTTTCATGGGCTTTTAGTCTTGTTACTTAAATACTAGGACTTATCTAATGGAAATAGTGGAACAATATTTAATGAGGACAATTTCAGCAAGAAAAACTTCCCACCTGGTTGCGCATTAGAATTCCCTAAGGAACTGTAAAAAAAAAATCTGAATGCCCGAGTTCCACTGGAGTAACTCTGACTTAATTGGTCTGAAGTGGACAGAAGCATAAGCATTTTTTAAGAGCTCCCTCAAGGATTATAATGAGCAGCCAGGATTGAGAATTTTGAGTCAAAAATACAGTTCAGGATATATATCTCCTATCCTGTTAATAGAATATTAATATAGAAAATGGTGTGAACAAGTTCTATTATCAAAGAATATACTACAGCCATCAGTTAACAGCAATATTTTGAGACCATAAGAAAAAGTTTATTTTCATCTGTGTGACTATTTTTTAAGCTAGGAGAAAATATTATTCTATTCTTACTAAGAAAACACATTCATGGGCTGGGAAGGTGGCTCAGTGATAGAGGGCTTGCCTTGCATGCATGAGGCCCTGGGTTCAATTCATAAGCAATACATAAGCAAAAAAAGCCGAAAGTGGCAATGTGGCTCAAGTGGTAGAGCACTAGCCTTGAGCTGAAGAGCTGAGGGACAGCGCCCAGGCCCAGAGTTCAGTCCCCACGACCAACAAAAAAAAAAAAAAAAGAAAGAAAGAAGGAAAGAAAGAGAGAGAAAGAAAGAGAAAGAAAGAAAGAAAGAAAGAAAGAAAGAAAGAAAGAAAGAAAGAAAGAAAGAAAGAAAACACATTCCTATACACATCATACATTTCAAAATGTACTATAATAGCTGATGGGTGACTAGAAGAAGAAAAAAAGCAAAAGGATGAACCCTATAATGGATGAATGGAGAAAAAAAAGTGATACAAACATGTACAACACAATGGAATTTTGCAAAAGAGCAGGCAACAATGATAAGAAATGTACTCATTACCTTGCCCATGTAATTGTAACCCCTCTGTACAGTATTTTCACAATTAAAAAAAACTTATTAACAATGGAATGTTATTCATCCATTAGGAAGAACAATATTGTATCATTTTCTGGGAAATGATGGACCTGGGAAATAATTATGTTAAATGAAGTAAATCGGGCTCAGAGAGACAAAAGGTACATGCTTTCTGTCGGAGGTGGAAGTTAAATCTAAATTATAAACATAAATGAAAATATAAAAAAGGCCATTTACATATATATACAAACTAATTGAAGTATACACAAGAAAAGATTTCAATGGTGTTTAACTCTTTTAAACAACTTAATTTAACAAAACAATTACTGGAAAGCTGGAACATGTTTTATCAGTGGGGGTAAGGTATATTTGAAAAGGACAGACAAATGGAGAGCGTAAGAGTGGGTGAATACAGGCATAGCAGACATAATTTTCAATATACATAAGTCAATATGGAAACAGGTAACTTGAGGAGATGGGTACGGTTGGGAGAGATGTGGCAAAATTCAGGGAGGAGTGACATTGATCAAGATGCATTGTACTCAACTGAATTGAATTGAATTGAAATCCTTTTTTACAGTGACGTAAAGATTTTTTTAAAAAAAACTAAATTAAAGGGATGACAGTCATTCATGGGAGGAAAAACAAATAAAACACCTAAAACAGAGTAATATAATCAATTACCAGAATTCACAAGCAATGAGTGTGTCACACCACTATCACTTTTTAATCTGTTCTTGAGTTTGCCCTCCTCTGGAATAAAAACTCTTGGCTGAGTCACAGAATTTTCAGAGCAAGCATGACTCAGGGCCAACTAACTGTGTAGTGAGGGTACAGCAACGGCGAGACCACACAACCCCCAATTAAAACTGCTATGATTTTATTGAGCAATGGAGCACTAATGTATCAGGACCACACCTGAGAAAAGATTCCCATGAGAAGGTGGGCTTTGGCTTTTCAAATGTTACTGGGCAAGGGCAGGGAAGGGGGTGGAGTGGAGAAGGGGAAGTACAATCATACGTCATAAAGCTGTTTTAGATTCCAACCAACGACTCCGCCAGTTTTAAGTATGAGCTTCCCACCCAAGGATATCATTCACTGGAAGTGCATCCGGATTTGGAGTGAAGCTTAAGAAACACAACAAAGGCTGCTAATGGCTCAGCTTAGTTGGGGCACACGTGGTTCAGGAAGGGGCAGTAGTAGGGTTACAAAAGCTAAAATAACTAGTCAGGTACCAAGAAAGTCATATCCACAGGAAGCTTAGTTACCCCATTCATCATTCACTTCACAGTTTAAGTCAAATACTACAGTTCATTTCTAATTCCTCATCATATCATTAAATTCATCGCCCACTTTATACAGTTCCAGTCAAATACTATAATTTATCTCTTATTTCTCCATCATATCAACTGTTCTTTTTAGAGAAAAGTAATTCTGCAATTGCAATGAAGATGTCTGGGTGCTGGTGGGTTCGCACCTGAAATTCACTGAAGTTCTACTATGTGAGCCTAACCCATTCAGTTTTATTAATGGTCACATTCGAACCAGACTAAGACTTTGCATTATTAAGGTTAATTTTGCCTCATTTACACCATCTTGGTATCTCAAAACAAGGTGCAAAACAATTTCTAAACCCCCGCTCCTAGGGAGCCTGGTCACCCACAACACACCAGGATTCATTCCATCATCCTGGAAACACGTGGAGCTCAGGAGGCCTGCTTGGAGCGTGAGAACTACAACTCCCAGCAGCCCCCGCGCGTCGCGATTTCCCACCGCCCCCCTCCTCCTTCCCCCCTCCCTCCGCACCGCGCCGCGCCAAGCCTGCTGGGTGGGGGAACCGGTCGCCGGGGCCAAAGATGTCGCAGACTAAGAAGAGAAGGTTAGAGTCGGAGGACGGCGGAGGAGCCGAGGAGGGCGAAGAGGACCGCGGCGGGGAGGGCGAGTCGGGGGTGGTGCCGGCGGCGCCGCGCCGGACGAAACGTGAGCGCGACCAGCTGTACTACGAGTGTTACTCGGACGTGTCGGTGCACGAGGAGATGCTGGCCGACCGCGTCCGCACCGAGGCCTACCGCCTGGGCATCCTGCGCAACTGGGCCTGGCTGCGGGGCAAGGCGGTGCTGGACGTGGGCGCGGGCACCGGCATCCTCAGCGTCTTCTGCGCGCAGGCCGGCGCGCGGCGCGTCTACGCCGTGGAGGCCAGCTCCATCTGGCAGCAGGCCCGGGAGGTGGTGCGGCTCAACGGGCTGGAGGAGCGGGTGCACGTCCTGCCGGGCCCCGTGGAGACGGTGGAGCTGCCCGAGCAGGTGGACGCCATCGTGAGCGAGTGGATGGGTTACGGACTGCTGCACGAGTCCATGCTGAGCTCGGTGCTGCACGCGCGGACCAAGTGGCTGAAGGAGGGAGGCCTGCTGCTGCCGGCTTCCGCCGAGCTCTTCGTCGCGCCCGTCAGCGACCAGATGCTGGAACTGCGCCTGGGTTTCTGGAGCCAGGTGAAGCAGTACTACGGCGTGGACATGAGCTGCCTGGAGGGCTTCGCCACGCGCTGTCTGATGGGTCACGCGGAGATCGTGGTGCACGGCCTGTCCGGCGAGGACGTGCTGGCCCGGCCCGAACGCTTTGCCCAGCTGGAGCTCGCCCGCGCCGGCCTGGAGCAGGAGCTGGAGGCCGGGATCGGGGGACGCTTCCGCTTCAGCTGCTACGGCTCGGCGCCCCTGCACGGGTTCGCCATCTGGTTCCAGGTGACCTTCCCCGGGGGGGACTCGGAGAAACCCCTGGTGCTGTCCACCTCGCCTTTTCACCCGGCCACGCACTGGAAACAGGCGCTGCTCTACCTGGACGAGCCCGTGCCGGTGGAGCAAGACACGGACATTTCCGGAGAGCTCACCCTGCTGCCCTCCCGGGACAACCCCCGTCGCCTGCGCGTGCTGCTGCGCTACAAAGTGGGAGAGCAGGAGGAAAAGACCAAAGACTTTGCCATGGAGGACTGAGCCTTGTCTCCCAGCCGGCCCGGCCTGCTTGCCGCTGAGAGGCTGGGGTGGTCAGAAGAGAAAGGGACATCCCTTGTGCAAGTAGGGGACGTTCTCTCTGTCGCTTTCCCTCGTGGTTCCTGGGGAGGGAAAATGACTTTTTTCAGTCTCCGTTTGAGGAGGGTCTTCTGGCAATGTTTATTTAAACAGTGGTTTCCCCCCCCCCCAACCTCCCCGATCATCTCCAATGACCTTCACAGTGTGCTTATTCATGGGCTTAGCTTCAAAAGCATATGGTAACCAAGCACTTGTCTTTCCGATTTTGGTGTTGCACTAGGGGAAGAAGAGAGAGAGATAATATCAATTTATAAATGTTTTTTTGCACAACTCGCACCTCATACCTTATTTCAGTGTGCAGCTGGGGAGAAAGGTGAAAGAAAGAGTTCTATTAGGTTCCAAAAACGTACACTCAGACTTAATATCTCTCCACAGTATGAATTTCAGTGCTAGGGACCTTTGCCCCGTGGTACTTGTTGCTCATTTTCTAAGAGAACTATTGCTCACAAAAAGAAGGAGTTGAGGAAATAGTTGAAGTACTCTTTTGCACTTCCACAGGTGCTCAAGTCGTTGAACATGTTAATCCATTAAGTAAAATAGACTTTAATGTAATTGGACAGCATACAAAAGGTAACATTTGGGAGCTAAAGGTCTGAAAGAGGAAAATACAGTGGATTTAAAAAAAATACCCATTTAAGGCTAATCAAGAAACAATTTCAGATATGTTCCATAATTTAATTCTTGTAAAGAAGGCACAGAAAGTTTCTGAACCTAACTGAAGGGCATATTCATTTCCATGGGTACATTATTTAAGTTACCAAAGTAAAATACATTCCCAGCCTTTTTTTTTTTTTAAGTATACTTACTTGAAAACTCTTGGAAGCATTATATAACTTGACTGACTTCAGTGAAAGTTCCTTTTTCAGGGATCTTGGCTTGGTGGGTTTTTTGTTTAGTTTTTGCTTTTTGTTTTTTTTTTTTTTTAGTTCAGTCAAATGTGGAAGTTGTGAATTAGGGAAAATCACTTGTAATGAAGTGTGAATCTTGTTATGAAATTTATTGCACGGATGTTTCCCCTTATCTCCTTGGCAAATAAAAGATTGACATCCTCACTTTTTATAACTGAAGCTTTACAAAGTTTTGTGCACCCTCTGAATTACAGTGCTTTTGCCTTTCTCACATTGTCAGTTCCTCAGTGTCTCAACTCTTCAGAATATACCTTCAAGCAATTCCAGCTGTGGTTAATATATGCCTTTCCACCTACTAGTAGCTTTTGTGTACTAATAGGAAACAAGTGTGAAAAACTCGTGTTCTGAAGTACTCTTAATTTCTTCTTTCTTGTAACTTTGCCACTTTGTTTTCTGCTCATTGTATATTAAAACACTTAAGCATAACTGATGTGCTAAAATTTAGTCATGTTGGAGATCTATTGTGAAGGGAAACACATACAAAAAGTCATAAATTAGAAAAGTAGGCTTGGTTAAACTAGAAGTAAAAGTAAATAGTTCATTTTGGGGGAGCTATATCTTTTAAATCAAACATTTACTTATTTAAAGTTTAACGTGCAGTTTGATTAGATTTCTTATCATCTTGTTTAAATTTGCTAAAACAGCCCCTTTTACAGTATGCTCAGCCTTTCAAATTCCATTTTGTTAGTGTATTTTACAAATATAACTACTACAGAGAGTTTTCATTACCAACACAAGCTCACAAAGAAACAAGTTAAAAGCTGGGAAACTACAGAAGTAAAAGATACTTTGTAATAAAGCAGAATAAGCTTTAAAATCCTTGTTCTTTCTCAAAGGAGAAATACAGCCTCTGAAGCCTTTAGTAGCTATATTAGAGGCAGCACAGCAGAGTGATAACAGTTTGCATCTGAAGGAGACAGGCAGTGCATGCCAGTGAGTAAGCACTAGCACTCTGTGTCCTGGGACCAACTACCCTGTTACTCCTCCTTTTTACATTTTTTCCTACAAAGCTCTCCAGTACAACACAGAAAATAGTACCCCCTGGATTGGCATGTAAAGTTACAGGTTAATCAGCTAGCCCATGTAGTGCCTGGTATAAAACATCTCAGTAACTCCTCAGTCTGCCATTACCTAAGTCAGGCAAGCCTGGAGCAGTTGGATACATAGAAAATATGCTACAGAATAAATATCCAGTATTTTGGTTTTCTTGCAGGTATTGGCTGCCGGGATCAGGAATGCTGTACATGAAGAGTAATGTACGGCAGTGATCACTAGAAGATCCAAAGGAAAGCCAAGGCCTTTCAGATGCGGATGCTTCCAAAAACATGAAAGTGTAAGACACATCAACATTCAGCCATTGTGCTGTCTGTATGGACTAGTTCTGATTGCTTAGGGCTGTTAAGGCTACTGGCAGGTACTCCCAGACCCCTTAAGAGAAAAACACAGTGAAGTTCTACATGCTTATGTCAAGTGGCTTATGTTTACTTAGTTTTATAAAGTTTTTTTCTCAAATATCACCAAACCATTAAGCATTTTCTTGGATGAACTTTTTATCAGTCACTGTGATAAATATTTGGGATATAAACAAAAAGTATAGACTCTGCTTTCAAGTAGATAATTTTTTTTTTTTGTCCGTCATGGGGTTTGAACTCTGGGCCTGAGCCCTGTCCCTTAGCTCTTCAGCTCAAGGCTAGCGCTCTACCACTTGAGTTACAGAGCCACTTTCGGTTTTCAGGTGGTTTATTGGAGATACAAATTTCACAGACTTTCCTGCCCGGGCTGGCTTTGAACTGCGATCCTCAGATCTCGGCCTCCTGAGTAGCTAGGATTACAGGCATGAGCTACCAGCACCCGCTCAAGTAGATAAACTTTTATAAGACAAACTAAAATAATTACTTGGGTTTGTCTTGGTGCTACAGAAGATAAATAAAGCCAGGCTTTGGTGGCTCATGCTTGTAGTCCTAGTTACTTAGGAGATTGATATATCTGAGGATCTCAATCCAAAGTTATTTCAGGCAGGGAAGTGTATGAGACTTTTACCTCATTAACCACCAAAAGTCTGAAATGGAGGTGTGGTTCAAATAATAGAGTTCCAGTTTTGAGTGAAATAGCTAAGCAAGAGCAAAAGGCTATGAATTCGAGACCTCCATACTATAGCAGCAGGGAGAAAAAAATCAACAGGTAGATGTATTCATTTTTCATAGGTTTATAGATTTATATAGCTCTTAAAGAATTGCTTTTTTTTGGTGAATATAGACTGCTTATTATCTAGTAACTTTAGTTCTTTTTTCCTTTTTTGGGGGAGACGGAGGTAGATGTTGATTTTGAACAAAACCTAGAGCTTGCCACACTTGAGCAACACCTGCAGCCATTTTTGCATTAGTTTGTTTTTCATAGTTACATCTTTTGCCCTGGTCAGTCCTTAAACAGAGGAATCTCTTAGGAAGCTGAGACTATAAGCATATATCCTTCCAGAAAGTTGAACCTTGAGTATAAGTCACTTCCTAACCCCATACTGAAGTTCACACTTTGGTTGAATTAACCCATAATTCAAAGAGCATAGTTCTAAGTAGTAAACAACAGATTTATATTTAATAAATGAAGGAAAGGGGAAAGTTCTTTACCATAGCAAGTCTTACTCAAGATCTGTCTTGGGCCTGGCAGAATGGCTTTCAGTGTATGTCAAATTTGACAGATACTAGGCACTCATTGACACACTGCCTGTGCATAGTTACCTAGCAGCTAATCAACCATGGCATCCTTTCTGAAGTTCCCAGAAAGCTAAGTCCCCAAAACAATAGCAAAACGGTTATAGGTTCTTGGTTGTAGAAAGCACAGGGAGGCTTCTGATGAGTCCAGCAAGTTGTGGAAATGAGCAAAAAGGAGTTGAGCAAGGTGAATGTGAGGAATCTCCAGCAAACAGCTGCTTCATGTTTTGCGTATTGCCAGCCTTGTTATAACCATACTGCACATCACCCATCTCTGAGGAGAGATGAGTCTTAGGACACACAGAGAGGCCTCATTCCTCCCACATCACACATCTATTCATTGATTAAGTCATAAACACCAACTATGTAACAATGTAGTATGATGAGATAGGAGATTATGTGCATTTACTATTGGCATGTTTTTAAGCCAGGATATATTTCATTCCAACTGAACCTTATCTCTGCTGCAACAGTGGTTAGAAGTCAGCATTCTTCTTAAAACTTTTCAAGGGGAAAAACAGTATTTGCCTCATTAGATTATGAAAAGTCTTATGGAAAAAAATCCCATACTACCTTCAAAAATAAGCTGTTAACTTTCCAAATAAATGGCTTGGCTTACATCATTATAAATGGTATTGATATATATTCCTTCACAGGTCAGCTACTAGAAAACTGAGCAACATTAACACCTCTCTTGTGCTTTTCTTTACCTTGTATGTAGCTTCATATTTTTTTGAATTTTTCCTCATGCACTAGTTATAACTGTTTTGTTGGTATTTATGCCACCTGTTCTAATTGTTGTTGGCATTAAAATGGTTTCTGAAGCCAAGTGTTAGTGACCCATACTTGTAATGTTAGCTGAGGAGGCTGAGATCTGATGATCTGGTATGAGCTAACCTGGACAGAAAAGTCCATTAGATTCTCCTCTCCGATTAGCCAGCAAAAATAGTAGAGTTGTGGTTCAGATGGTACAGCACTAGCCTTAAGCAGAAAAGCTAAGGGACACCTTTATGGAATATGTGTGTATGTATACATGTATGTTTACATATGCACATATATGTGTAATATACACATATGTATATACAGACATATATATACGTATGTATGTATGTATTCCTTCTCTTTCCAGGCTTCCTCCGAGGAGAACAAAGAACAAAAGACAGAAGATGGATAAAAGGAAATCATTTCTGCTCCTGAGTGCTTTACAGGCATTCGTGCAATTATGTGACTGACATATAGTAGGGAAAATCCTTCTATTCTGCAAATTTTTTCATTTAAAAATAACAACTGAAGAGAAACGAGTTAAATTTGCAACTTAAAAATACTAAAAGAATAATTACAATAAAAATAGTTTATCAGAGAAAAAATGCTAATATAGAGATGACTTAATAGGAAAAAAGACTTTTGAACAAAATGGAATTCACAGAGAGGGGCAGAAGGCTTAAATACACCTGTATTATACTGGATGTGAATGCAAACAATGATCTTGATTGTCATACATCCCTCTGCTCTGCTGTACTCCACTGCATGGGCCTACTTCCTGCTTAGTGGTGTTACCTGATGGTGCTAAACATTCTTGATGGAAATGAACACAGGTAAGTCACCCACTATAGACTGACATCTCATTGAATTATAGCAGAAAGGTTTATTATTTGTTCAGTATCCAGAAACTTAAAAATTCCACTGGGATAATGGATCTTTTCAGCACAAACTTTCTTGGCGGGGGTTAGAATGGAGAGTTACAGGTGGTTATGCCTACACTTGAGTTTGAATACTTCATTATTTTGGTCACCAGAAAAGTGAAAAGGAAGGGTGCAATAGGAATTCTCCCTTGTTTAGAAGGAAAATAGTTGAATATCACTGAGTATAGGAAGTAGTTGGATGGGGATTGGAGATAATAACTCCTTTTACCAGTCACAGGACAAAATAAAACAAACCTGAAATTGCCCAAGTGTGTTGAGTCATGCTTATAATAACCTTAGCACTTAGAAAGTAGAAGCAGGAGAATAGATTGTGAGTTCAAAGTCAGTCTGGGCGTCTCCAAATAAAGTTAAAGAACCACATAAAGGATATATTTTTCTTAAATATGGGCTTATGAAACAGTAGTATTTTGATTGATGATAAATTACTGCTTATTTTGATATTTGTCAATTTCAGTGGTCTCATACTCATCTCCTTTTCTGAAGCAGATTCTTAGTAGGTCAGGCTGGCCTTGAAGTTGATATTCCAGTTTTCATTTCAGTTTATAGATTGCAGAGAACCCATGTCCAGTCTCCTCAAATTTGTAAACACAACATTTCAATCCCAAGTATTTAAAGCTGTGTGCTTTTAGTAATGGAGGTGTAAAAAAATGCAGTATTGCTGTTACTAAAACTATATCATAAAATTATTATAAAAACAAAATGCAGAGTTTTGACTTTAAGGCCCACACATAATGAACAGGGTTAAGATCCACAAATGGTTAAAATATTAGACATTTATTATGCATTCATTAAAATCTGACTTCTCACTAGAAAAGTATGAAAATAGCAAACTGCTTATTTAATGTGAACTTCTAACTCTACCATTGTTTATCATGTACTGAAATTATAAAAGTTAGAAACACTTAAATGGTTAAGAATGTGCAGTTAATGGACTAAAAAAGAGAGGATTCGGAAAATCCAAGGATTAAATATACAGCTCTTGAATAATTGAAAATTTTCTGTAGTTACAATAATTAGAGGAAAACATGGAGAGAATGACAGTAATTACATCAGAGATTTAAATGCAAAATGAAATTAGAAACCACAGGAAACGTGCTGTTTATAATCAACACAATTAGATACCAGCTAGTTCTTCTTGAACTCTCAACCAAGGGGAGTCCAGACATCATTACAACATAGGCTCATATATAAATTAATTTCATGATAAAGGATTCAGAAAAATACTATGGTACAGCTTCACAATGGTAAGTCCCATAGCAATAGGAAATAGAATGGTTAAATCAGTCTAAACAATGAAAGTGAAACCAGACCAGAAAGGATGTAATCACTTTACCAATAGTCTCATAAAATAGTAATTTAAAATAATATAGTCAGTGATTAACTATGTGCAATGACTTGTTAATGGTTTGTAAGTTTTCACCTTTTGTTGCATCATATCAGATTAATTTTATACCAAAGAATAATGCATTCAGTGTGATAATACTGTGAAAATTGCATGCTTTGAATCTTCACAACAGTGTTTTAATGTGGCCTGATATTCCTGAGCATTCAGAATGGTTTTAATACTGCAGTGCTTTATTCATCAACATGTGTGTAGCCCCATTAAAATTATTCATATGTTAACTTTGCTTACTTCCCATGAGGCATACAAAATAAATCACATTCTATGCTGGTAACTCTCATCCTAAGGAAAACTCCACATTTATCATAACATTATATTTAACGGAAAAGCCTCTTTCTTCAGACAGGTCATGGCCTGTGTACAGATAAACAGTCATCACACTTAAATAAAGCATCCTTGTTAAATCCTTGTTAAATTGAGTGGCTAATGTGTGTTAGGTGCATGTTTCTTTGTGTATATACTGGTGTCAGGGCTCCATGTTCTTTCTCATTTTCCACTCAAGGTTGGCATCCTACCACATGAGCCATACTTCCACTTCTGGCTGTTTGGTGATTAATTGGAGATAAGAGCCTCACAGACTTCCTTGTCCCAGCTGGCTTTGAACTGTGGTCCTCAGATCTCGGTCTCCTGAGTAGCTAGGATTTGCAGGTGTGAGCTACTAGGGCTCAGCCAAGATGCACATTTCATTACATTATCTTATCTACTCACTAGCCCTGTGAAGTATTTCTATAAATCCTTTGTTGTAGAAAAGAACACAGAATATAAAGCAATTTGTGAATTTCCCCAGGCCATCACCTAAGTAAGTAGCAAAGCCAGGGACTCACCCTTCAAAACTCGAGCATCTAGCTTTCCTTACTATCTACACTCTGCTTGATGCCTGCCATCTCAGAGTTAATGTGACAGCAATAGACACTTTGGATAGACTGGTCATTGTCTTAGGTCCAAATTCCCTGCAGCAGTCTCTGAAATAGAGATACATGTAGCAATGTTTATCAAAATGTTCCCAAATAGTGGAACAGCGTCCTGGAAGGACAGGAAGGGAAGGAGGCCAGCTGGGGTGTGATGTCAAACTCCCAAGACATGCTGAGTGGGAGAGGAGCCCTGCAGCCAGCGCAGACCACACCACACAGTTCCCCGGGTAAGAAGCGCCAGATCTACAAAGGTTCTACCTTCTCACCTATCAGCAGCCACTGGTGATTGACTGCCCCTGGTGAGACATAACTTCCATGGCATGTCCTGCCCATAGCAGATCCCACAGCCTCAGGACTATACCAAGAAAGTGCTGAGGGTTGAGAATGGAAACACTTTTGGAGCACATGTTGGGAGAGAGAAAGACCGAAGGTCACAAAGCAATAAGATCTGTAGGATGTCAGATTTGCCTTAAGTATATCCCTCTTCCATAAGTTTTCTGTAAAGCTGCATTAAAATCGTATGAACAACAGAAACTAAGGAAAAGGGAAATGTTAATAACCCTCGACTTTTTAGAACCTCATACACATGTGTAAATGTAATTTTTTTTACTCATTACTTTGAAAATCAGTTATTTTTCAGATAAGAAGTAATAAATGTACCTATTTGTTGTTGTACATATATCCATTGTTAGTGTTTTCAACTCATTGCTGCTACAGATTACATTTGTCCTCTCTCCACTCTCTCCCATCCAATCCCATTATTTCTGGAGCTTGGACTCAAGTCCTTGAACCCTCACTTGTTTCTTTGCACTCAAGGTTGGTGCTCTACCACTTGAGTAATACCTCCACTTCTGGCTATTTGGTCATTAATTGGAGCTAAAAGTCTCATGAAGCCAGGCGATGGTGGCTCACGCCTGTAATCCTAGCTACTCAGGAGGCTGAGATCTGAGGATCAAGGTTCAAAGCCAGCCCGGGCAGGAAAGACCGTGAGACTCCTATCTCCAATAAACCACCAGAAAACCGGAAGTGGCGCTGTAGCTCAAGTGGTAGAGCGCTCGCCTTGAGCTGAAGAGCTGAGGGACAGCGCCCAGGCCCAGAGTTCAAGCCCCATGACCGACAAAAAAAAAAAAAAGTCTCATGAAGCTGGGTGCCAGTGGCTCATGCCTAGCTACTCAGGAGGCTGAGATCTGAGGATGGTGGTTCAAAGCCAGACCAGACAGAAAATCCGTGAGACTCTGATCTCCAATAAACCACTAGAAAACCGGAAGAGGTGCTGTGGTTCAAGAGGTAGAGCACTCGCCTTGAGCTGAAGAGTGTAGGGACAGCATCCAGGCCCAGAGTTCAAGCCCCACAACCAACAACAACAACCAAAAAGTCATGGATTTTTTTTGCCTGGGCTGGATTCAAACTACACTTCTCAGGTCTCAGTCTCCTAAGTAGCTAGGATTACAGCTGTGAGCCACCAACCCCCATCGCCAGTCCCATAACTAAATTCTGGAACATCATGGGCTGATGACTCCCAGATTTATACGGTACTGTCATCCCAATGTTCCCACTTTGTTTTAGACTCATGTCTCCCATTTTTTAATTATCATCTTTACTACAAACCTAACATCACCAAGCTGTGAGCACAATTTAACGTATTTTATAAATGTAATCTAATATGTGTAATTGCAGATATATAACCCTTTACCATGTATGTATGTAATCAAAGCAGCATTTTTGTTTTTAACAATTCTATAAAAATACTGTTAATTTACTTATGACCATGTTTTCTTTTCCAATAGCACCTATTACCTTCTGAAATTAATTGCTCATTTTTTCTATGTTAACTCAATAAAATCTATATTTTGTTTAGAGCAGAGTCTTTAAGCTCAGAAATTAATAAATGAATGAATGAATATTAAATTGTGGTTTGTCTATTGGTGTTTTCTTCTTACCTTTAGACATGAAGTTCTTTAGTATTTGCTTGTCTTCAATTTTCATAACTCCTGTCTGTGTGAAAAGTTCATGCAATTCACTCTCGTGCTAGTAATCTGTGAGACCCTGTTTGCTACTAACATTGCTCACCAGGATTTTAGTACTTTTTTTTTTTTTTTTAGTTGTGGGGCTTGAACTCTGAGCTTGGATGCTGTCCCTGTGCTCCTCAGCTCAAGGCGAGTGCTCTACCACTTGAGCCACAACACCACTTCCTTACCAGGATTTTATTAATCATATTTTTATGACTCGTGTATAGAAACCTGCTGTCTTATTTTCATTTTTGTTACCCTAATTCCTAGGAGGTTGAACATCTTTCCTTACATTCATTAGCTATTTGCATTTGCTTTATTATGAATTTATTGCTTCTTTATTTTCCTATTTGATTGTAGGCCTATGAGTTAGAATCCCATTGAAAATTAAGAGTATCCCATTGTGAATGCTGTTATACCTGCATTTAATTTTAATGTCTTTACAAATTAAATTTTTGCCACTCAGAACTTCTCCATTTTTATGAATCCAAATCTGATGATCTTGTTTGTTATTGTTGTAGAGCTTCTTACCTGATTAAGAAAGCTTTTCCTAATCCAGTGTTAGATAACTCCACCCAAACTATCTTTCATTTTCATTACTTAATTCCTAATATGGATATGTTAAATTTTAGTATGGAAAATAATTTCAAGAAAATATTCTTTTATCAATGTAAAACTAAAAAATCCATTTAATGAATCCTATCAAATTTTATTTTTAATACATCAGTATTCTTCAGAAAATATCTTAGTATTAAAAAAAATGAGTAACAGGTAAGATGTGAAATGGAAGAAAAATTTCCAAAAAGAAAAAGCAGTGGAAAATAGCTCAAGGGACTTTTTCCAGGGGAAATAAAGAAGAAAAAGTCTTAAGTCAGAAAGAGACTTCAAGAGGGGCGGCTTCATACTGAAGAGAATCCAAAAAGTAGTGGCGGGCTACAGCATAAATAAGAAATGTTCTCAAAGAATCTTTGGAGTTGAGAAAGAACGAATGTCCAAAAGATAGATGTAGGTGATAAAGCAAAATGTCTAAACAAAAAAGTAATCTCTCAGTAAAACCAGCAGCATCTATAAAATGTATCATTAACATAAGCACTACAAAGGAAAGGTTGCTTTATGCCAGTTTTTTTCCTGATTAATTCAAAGCTGCTGCCATCTTTTTAAGCACAGAAACCAATTGTTTCTAAGATCTGCTATTTACTCTTAAATGATTGATTTTCTTAATAAATATTTACCATTATTGTTTTTTATCACTATTAACAGGCATTTATTATGAATTTTACAAATACTATTTTTTGTTGGTTTTTGTTAGTTGTTGTTTTTGTCAGTCAGAGGGCTTGAACTCTGTTGCAATGGGTCAATCCTTATCCCTATTTAAATAATTTGTTTTTTCCCTTTACCTCCCCAAATTATACCAACATCAAATACAGTGAAAACAGGGGTTATACCATGGGGGAGGGACATACAAAGCAACAAAAAATCACATAGTACGTTATAAATATGTTAGAAACAATAGCAAGAAAGAAAAAAAAACACTTGTCCCTATCTTGGGGTCCATTTCGTTTAACATCTTATCTGACCTTTTCTACTTGTCTCAGACATATACTAGTTATTGCAAATAAGGGAAACCATGGGACCTATGTTTCTTTGGGCCTGGCTTACTTCACTTAATATAACTTTTTCCAAGTCTTTCCATTTCATAACAAATGGGATGATGTCATTCTTTCTGATGGAGGCATAGAATTCCATTGCGCATATATACATACATATATATATAATATATATATATATATATATCACATTTTCTTTATCCATTCATCTACTTAGGGGCATCTGGGTTGGTTCCATATCTTAGCTATGGTAAATAATGCTGCAATAAACATAGTTGTGCTGGTAGCGGTAGTATTAGGAGAAGATCTTCACTAGCCATACAACAGACAAGGGTCTCATATCTAAAATATATTAGAATTCAAAAAATTAAATCCCCCAACAACAAATCTGCAAAGAAACAACTACCTGATAAATAAGTGGGCTAAAGACTTAAAGAGAAACGTCTCTGTAGAGGAAAGAAGGATGGCCAATAGACACATGAAAAAATGCTCAATCTCCCTAGCCATAAAAGAAATGCAAATCAAAACAACATTGAGATACTACCTCACCCCAGTTAGAATGGCTAGAATCAAGAACTCTAATGACAACATATGCTGGAGGGGATGTAGCCAGAAGGGAACCTTACTGCATTGTTGGTGGGAGTGTAAACTTGTTCAACCACTTCAGAAAGTAGTATGGAGGTTCCTCAAAAGACTCCACATAGAGCTCCCCAGTGATCCAGCAATCCCACTTTTGGGCATTTACCCGAATGATCACAAACAAGGAAAGTTCTTTTACACAATTAAATTTGGATAACAAGAAGAGTCTGTTTTACATTTTCTAATGTACCATAATAGTCAAATATGCACATACAGAGGCACACACTCACATGCACTTTTTAGAAATGTTTGGAATGGGCCTATAAAACAATGTATTGGCAAAATATCACTCAACTCTTCAGAATATGGCAGTAGATATCATGGACTTTCCTAGCTCCTATTCTTGGCTCAT